CGGGGGTCAACGATTCTCCGTCGCCGACGTCGCGGCGCCCGCATAGGGCTGCCCATACTTTCTTAAATCTTAACTTGGCTTTTCAAACACAAGAGGGAAGCGAAATATTAACCTTTTATCTTTATCACATTCTATTAAATTTGTAAAAGTTAACTAAAATCCAGTATTCGTTTCGTGACGTTTATAATTTCGTTTTTAGAAACATATAATCCAATCACAATAAACAAAAAGTCCCACAACTATTGAAAAAGTACATAAGGAATTAATAACAAAATAGGTAATCTAGGAAAACTTGTGTGTTCAGCCCTAAGTGCCGGCGCCGGCGCCCGGCTGGCGGCGCTACTTGTTGCTGCGTCTATTCCTCGCACAACATCTCGTCTTCCAAGCACACGCACACGCAGCGGACACAGAGAACCAACACCCTTCTCCTCCGTGTCTCACACTGTCAAGTAGCAGCGATCCGGCATTCAGTGTTACTTATTGACACTCTAAGATCAAGTGATTCAATTTAAAATATCTATTTAATATTAAAAGTGTGCAGTATTTATAATATCTAGTAGAACGTATTAAAAATGTGATGCTTAGAAATGAGATCTTGATTTGGTGAATTAATGTTATAAACTGTGTGTGTGTAAATGTTGGATCGATTGGAGTTAACGATAGTAAGGATATTTTGTTGATGCTTACAAATAGATTTTAACTGAAAATAAAATAGTTATTCAGCTAGAAGATGAAGTAAGTCTCAGTATTACTTTTGGGTAGTAGACGAAGATTAACACAAACCTAAAGGAAATAGTTGTCACTTGTTTGAAATAAATTAAGGATATTAAAGATATTTCATTAATACGGATTATTGCTTCTATTTTGAGACGATATGATGCTTAGATTGTACTTTCTTCTTCTTTTTCATTATCTCACAAAATTAGTCGTATTTCTGGCAAACGTTCAATTTTAAATCAATTACGTTTGTGCATATAAAAGACATCAACGAAAGATTTTCCGACAACTTTTATACGTAGTTTAATTCTGATTAGAAAGGTAACTGAACAAATTTTTTGGTACTAATGTACCAATGCCGCTGGTTCCCAGGAGCCAGTGAGGATGGGTGTGCCGGGCTCGTACGGCGCCGGCGCCACCAAGATACCGAGCCACGTCGCCTACTACGTGGCCATGGCTGGCATCTTGCTGCTCCTCATCTGCGTCTGTTGCTACTTCATCTTCTTCTGCTTGCGGAGAATTAAAGGTGAGTACAGTGAAGTCTTGTGTATAAGAGTTCTATAAAATGATTTTTTTGTTGAATATAAGCCTTTACTTAGTTTACTCATTCCACTTCCACTATTTATGAATAAACAGAGATATCAGCATATATTTACACATGATATTGCAGTTAAAACTGACGATAACACAGGATTCTTTATTGTGTTCCAGAGCTGTCGCACCACGAGTTCCAGGAGGTGCGCTCCGTGCGCCCCCCGCCGCCCCCGCAGCTCGACCCGCCCCCGCTCTCGCCCACTGCATACCCCGTGCAGCCAGGTCAGTACTTACTCCATACCACAGGATTATGTCGTTACAATGTACTGAAGAGAGCGCAAGCCATTGCTATAAGACAGACGCACACGATTGTCCTTTGTTTTATGTTAACCTGCTCTTTGTATTTCTTGCAGGAGTGCGGGAAAGTGCGACGGCGATGGCCCGGCTGTGCCGCGCGTTGCCGCAGGACACCGTGTTCCCCGCCTCCCCCGGCACCCCCGCGCGCGGCCACTCCGCCTTCTCCCCCACTTCCCCCGTCCCCCTGCTCGCCTCTCCCCCTAGATTGCCGGTGTCGCCCACCTCTCCCAACCGGAGAGTCTTCGCCTACTACACATCCCCGAGACGTTCAATATCTCCAACGTCTCCAAATCGAAGATCCGATGGGTACTACATTTCGCGAAGAGGTCCTCTTTCCCCGACCTCCCCCAGGAGAGGTCCCCTCTCCCCGACCTCCCCTAGCCGAAGACATCCCCTGTCTCCGACGTCGCCGCGCGGGAGGGGGCAGCACCGCGCCGCCACAGTGCCCGCACGCCGCGTGCGCTCCCCGCACAAGCCGCCCGCCATCGTGCTGTCTCCCGCCACTGACACGTGCAACACGTTGCCCGCACTCACAGTCATACCATTGCGATAAATTAATAAATCATATATTATATTTGTTACTAAAAATATGTTCAATCTCTACATCGCGAGGTGGAGGCGAGTTGAGTTACAGAGACGAGCTCGCCTCCACATCGCTAATACTTTGGTCAATTTTATATTTGTATCTATTTTTTAAACACAATCATAGTTATATATATATATATGTATGTAAAGTATATTTAAGGAAATAATTGAGTAGATTTATAATAAGTTTTGGTTTTTTGATAGTTTTGTTAAAGATTAATTGTTATATACACAAAAAATATTTTCAATTATGTATATGGTTGTGTAATATTATATATTTATGTTGTATATGTATATTGTTTCATTGTTTAATGTAAAAATGTTTCAAAATAAATAATAGAATTACTTAAAAAATAACAAATTTGTAAACTTATATTTAGACAAATTTTTCTTATACATTTAAACTAATTTTGTCAGAATTTATGCTAAAAATTCAATTCGACCAAATAAAAGTGCTACACAAAGTGCTACGAATGTGTTCTACGCTACAGTTACAGTACCTCATTTTGCTGTAGCTTTTATACCTCAACTATTATTAAGAATAAAAAAAACATTAGCTCAATAAAATATAATGAAGTAGAATGTAAGTTTGTTTCGCTTTCATATAATATTTGCCAAATTTTGTAAAACTTAAGGTTTGTTCATACAAATTTTTGAAATAAAAGTTAATTTAATATTATTTGTGCTTATTTATTTCACTTATTTTTTTCACGTCTATAATAGGCTTGTGTAATTTAAAGTCGAGCGTCGCATCACACTCGAAATTAAAAGTAATGTAAAGGCAATAAAGTTGATTGAACGAAAATCGGGTTGAACTTTAACTTTTAACACAAAAAGTTTTTATAAATTGTTTGTAAGAATCCATATTACGGAATTAAATAACACGAAACTATGAAGTCTTCTAAAATGACATTTCGGATTCTTCGCATTATCTTAGACTGAACTACAGCGCCATCTATCAGCCGTAATTGATTTTCATAAATTTGTCTTGTAAAAAACTCAAATAGTAGTAGAACGAGCAAATTATTTATCACAAAGATGACGAGCTTTATTGACAAAATGCAGAGTCGTGTACTTCAACTTTCTATAAACTTGCCTCTTTTTATTAAGACTGTTTCAAGGCATAAATCATTTAATTACGTCACTTGCATAATATTTTTCAAAATTATGCATTTAAAAAGAATTGGCTGATTTGGAACGAAATTATTTCTTTATATTTCTAAACGTCGTCGTAATTTTTGCCTTTAACTTGCGAATCTTTTTAATTTTCGTAAGTGACTTAATTTAATTTTTTATGTTATAACCTCTTTCGTCAAAACTCTTCGGACACTTAAAGCAAAAACCATTCAAAAAAACTTGACCAAGTGAAAAAAAAGTTATGTATTATAATATTTTTCATATGTTAAATACGACAACATAGTTGTCCTTGAATTTGATAGCTATTTTGAATCGAGTTGTATTTTTAAAAGCATTCAAGTGAAACATAACCAAGTGAAATGTAACACATAACCTGTTGTTACCTATGAAAGTGATTTAATGAATTCCGAGTTATTAATACATATTGATCCTGAATAAATGACGAGCACTGTGAGACAAAAGGTTTTTCAGAGAGATAGAGAGAGATAGAGAGAGATCGAGCGATCGAGAGGACGCGGCAATGTGTGCGAGAGGGATGACGCGAGTGCGGGGCGGGGCGGGGCGAGGGAGAGGGATCGATGGAAGCCGACACTCCGGCGCCACAGCCTCCGACACTCAGTGGCACACCGAGTGCAAAAAAAATACAAAATTTTCATGTTATATTTGGAACCCGGATGTATTTCGGTTTAGAACTTATTTTATTATTTATTTACATTAGAAGATTTTACACTTATAATATAATATATCTGAGTATAGGCAAATGAATGAATGAAATAAATTATATTTTTTCAAAACTATTTAATTTACGGATATAAATCTTTTAAGTCTATTGTTTAATTATTTCTATAAACTTCTCTATTAAATCATAAAACATTCCACAAAAATAAAAATCGAAAATGGCTCAGTGTGTTTCCAACTTTATGATTCTCTGGTGAATTTCAGCCAAGATTTAGAAAGAAGAGAGTTGCGCGCGTTTTGTTGTTGCGAACATCCCGGGGGAGGGTGCGGAGTCCGCGCTCACGCGAAAGTGAAACTATTCCATTACATCTTGTGGTAACATCAAACAACAAACATATATAAAATAGTTTCGGTGTATAATAATTATAATATGTTGTGCTGCTCAACAATACAGGTAACATTTATATTCACAAAATGATATCAAGTAAATAGTAATTTAAACTTGTTTAATACTTTGCAGATTTCCTTTAACTGCACCACAAATATTTAATTCATCGTTATTTTCTCGTTCTATATCAGAAATCTGATTTATACATGTACAAGCTAACGTCTGGATGTAAAATATCTTAGGTAAGTGTTCAATTAGTTCCAAGTTCAGTCCATTTCGGAACTTCACTTCAAAGTACTGAGGTATACAAGACTAGTTCGAGATCCGGCATTTTGTTGACTTGTGCTAATGTTCTGTCTTTGTCAGCTGGTGTGGTAAAAGTGCAAAGGTATTGTGGTGTGGAGGTATATTGGTGTAGAGGCACGAAGGTGAAGAAGTGCAATGGGAGGTGTGGGAGGTGCGGCGGCGCTGATGGGCGTGGAGGTGTGCGCGCCGCTGCTGCTGCTGTGCTGGCTGTGCTGCTGGCCAGACGACGCCAACTCAGGTGCGCCCTGAACTGAACACAACTTTACAAATGTCCATTATAAACCATTATACAACTGTTGGACATAGACCTCGGGAGAATCCTTGCAAAGTACTCTGCCCTGATCCTGGCGACTGGTGACCATTTACATTGGGGCGCTATACAAGCCAATTTATTTGCCTGTGTTATATAAAAACATACGTTTATCGTGGTCTTCTATAGAAAGTTGACGGAAAACACAACATATATGTGTGATTATGATGATCTGATGTTATTAGTTAAAATTGTATGTCTACAGACACGAGCTCTGAGAAGCATCCCAGAAGACCGGTCATTACCACAGGTGAGTTTGGATAAGACATTTTGTATACAGAGTAACGGTCAAATGTTTATCTCAATGTCTTATAAGTTTACAGTTTTCACCTTGACCTGAATGTAACTAGTGTTACGTGTTCCCAGAGTCGGGGCGCCACTCGGGCGAGCTGCTCGCCCGCCGCTTTGGCAGCAGCGCCGTCTCTCTGCACCTCCCCCCCACACCGGGTCAGTGACGTCACACAATACTAGGTCATGTAGTACAACTATGTCAAAGGAACCTAACTCTATGTCTCAGGGTTAATGTTTTAGGTCAACGAGAACATGGAGATGTTCAATAACACATCTATGGAGTTTCACTTTTACTGTAAAGAAAATATTAAACAATTATAATTTAAATTTACTTAATAATTGTTAGTGATTTCTTGTTTACTGAAAATAATGCAGCTCATGTGTCATATGTTTATAAAAAGAAATTAAAAAAAAATGTATTTGATGCTTAGGTTTCAAAAAGCAACCTCTGTCTGCCCACCGGAGCCACGAGGAGATCCGCAGCCGGCGCAAGTCTCACCACGACACGGGCGAGCGCGTCGACCCGGCCCGGCATCACTCTGCGCCCAGCGTCATCGACGAGGTCCTACACCGGCGCGACTGGGAGCGATCCAACAGGGACCTCTACATCCCGCTCAGACCAGAGGCCGAGGCCCTGACGCCATACACCAGCCCTAACACAGATCTGACAGCAGATGTCGATACGCATGACCACAAGACTGACGAACAGATCATCGGCAGACCCTGTAAGAAGCACTACACGAATATAAAAAGCTCCCGCAATAAGAAACCAGAAACCGCAGTAACATCATACAAGGAGTTGACCGCGGAAGACATCAAAGACGAGGACGTGACGGAGCAAACATCCAGCATGTCAAACTTCTACATCGGAGACGCGTCCTGCATGCTCAATAAAGAGAACATAGAATTGAAAGTTTGGAACGTCGAGGAGAAGAAGGTGAAAGCTAAAGACGTGAAGCAGTGCGTGAACGAGTCCATCAAGTACAGGGAGAGACCGCGGAACATCCTTTGTCCTCTGGCCGAGCTGCAGGTGTCCGGGGAGGAGATGGACCGCTCGGGGGCGGTACACCACTTCGACTCCAGAGCCAGCTACTGCGACACGCCGGAGTTGCCCTACTCTCCGCCCGCAGCAGGTCAACTATTCTCACTTATTACCGCTTTTGTGTAAAAGAGATCAGAGTATAGTTATTGTATACTGTGTAGAGCCAGCCCGCGTGTTGGAGGGCACGTGTCTGCGGGGAGGTGGCGGGGCGGGCGCCAGCTCGCGGTGTGTGGTGCGCGCGCGTCACGCCAGCGCCGGGGACGTGCTCGCGCCGCTCATGCGTCCACACTCCGCCGCACTCTCCGGTAACTTTACTAGTTTCGTGTTTGTTAATAGAAATATGGAGGCTATGTTTGTGATGGTTAATCATTTAGGTTAACACCATCAGAAAAGCTGTTTAATCAGTTAACTAAGTACCAAAATTAGCTTGAAATCAAAATAATCGCCTTATTTTTTTATAATTTATAAGAGAGATGTGTGTTACAGAGAGCGACTTGGACTACGAGTTGGAAGGATGCGACGAGCCGCCGCCAGCCTACGATGAGCTACAGGTTCTTGCCATCGCACAGCGCAAGGAGACCGCCATATAATGGTGCATGATGAAACGCTATAATACGCGAACACCTCACTGTAATGGTGGGCTTCTATTGCCGAATCAGCCCTACAAAGAAATGTCATCTCAGTTTTATCATAAAATTAACAAATAACTTGAGGCATCAGGGCCAACATACACGGCCAGCTACCAGCATCGCACTGACTCCTTAAAGCTGCCCGTGTACGGCAGTCCTTATTTAAGTTGAATTTACAAAAGGCTCATTAGAATTTTCTTGTAACTGTTAACTAATGCAGAATTTTCGAGTGGGATATCTGAGAGAAGAATTTTTAATTAGATGAAATGTCAAATTAAAAACATAGAACAATGAGTTAGTAAAAAAAGATTTCGCGTTTAATATTTATATTTACAAAGAGATGTTACAATCTAGTCTAGTTCTAGTCTATTACATTATATTTTATGACAAATGTTACAGCAAATTAATTAAATTAATTGCAGATAAATAAACAAATGTATATTTTGAAGTCCGGCTTCTCTCTGCCGCGCACACACACACACACACACACACATAGCTGCATGTATTCTTGTTACAAAATATTTATAAATAAATTATATTTCAAATATTAACATATCTACTTTTAGTTACAACATATACCAACATTCGTCTTAGAAAATTACCTCTGTCACATCCTCTTATCCACTTCCCTACGTCTTTGGTAACTAAGCTCTAAATCATCTGACGACTCTGTTCTTTTGTCGTGCAGCACTAGCCACTATCTGTAAAAACTTGTACTGCAGATAAAGGCGACCATCAGGAAACACTAACAGATATGACAAAAATTGATGTATTGTAAAATCAAACTGATATTAGATAAACATTAAGAAAATGCCTCTTTAATAGTGATCGGAAGGTCATAAATTAACAGACGGCAAAATACATTAATTAAAATAAAACGATTAAATAAATAAATAGTTGATATGAAACTATACTATAAACTACTCCGCTTCGAATGTTAAATAATTCATGAATAATTTAAACATACATATATTAGAAGAATAAAAACATGTCACGCACAAACATAAGAAAATATTATCATAATAAATGCTAGTACAAGGGTTGTAAACTTAATACTCCTAGACGAGCCCCTCTAGAAATCCCCTCCCCTCCCACTTCCCTGCAGCGCGCGCAGCCCCCCGCGCATGCGTGTCGTACCCCCCGTGTTTACATGCCTCACTTGCACTTTCCACTGCAAGTACTTCAACCACAGTTCAATCGTTCCAGCCACAAGTCCAGACCCACACAGTGGACTAACAAGCCCCTGACTCATCGGGGCATCGGACCCAATTGGTAAGTGAATATATCACTTAATAATCAATTGAATCTTTATGTAACGTGAGGAAACCTCGCAAGCAATGCGGAGTTCACTGCAGATCTTGTTACAGCTTGTGTTTGCTTACAAATCAAATACTGTATTTTGTTATTACATTACTATGATATTATTTCAAAGTGTACTTAAGTATATTAAAGTCAATGAATATATAAAAACATATTTGTTAATAATCTGCGGTTAATAGAAAAGTGTCTGTTTGTGTCGTGTTTACAAGCTTCCTCAGATTAGTGCCTCAAATCATTTCGTATTAAATAATAGTGTCAATCAATAGTCACTTAAAACTCTAGAATTTGGTGAGGTATTGAAGAAAATGTGATTGTCAACAGTACATATACCCGGAGTAAACCTTATATGATTAAGACATGCGGTTATTCTAACCGTAGAACTCTATTGCCGTAACACATATAATAGAAGTGTAACAGCAATGGAATCCTACAGCAAGTCATAAATGTGAACTGAATGTTACGCGACGGTTGTAATCACCAGCTGAAGTGGAGTGTGACCATTGTGCAAATGTTTGTATGCAGTCAGGTACACTCGCAAACATAACTACTCCAATGTCACTTCCACTTGCAAATTATTTTGTAATGAGCAGTACTTAGTCTCAAACCTTGTCACATTTGCTATAAAGAAGGCTAAGTAAAATCCTCTAACTATTTTTCCAGTGATAGCCAAAAAGTCTTCACAAAAAACAGATCTTTTTCTCACTTCTTCTATATAAATTCAACACGATCCCTAACAGGGATGTTTAGTATTATTTTTTCTCTTCTTAGAAATTACAATTTAAAAATCAATATCCAGTGTTTACTAACAAAGAGTTACTTAGCAACGATTTAATATTATGTTTACTTCTAATTGCTATTTAAATACTCGTTAGTTATAAGTTTAAGCAAATGAAATCAATAGAAACTAAATTAACCAACGATAACCCTGAACAAATTGCCCAAAAACAGAAAAATGTTAATCTTGCTAATTGAAAATAAGCAAAATAGCTCTTATTTATGTAAGATAAGGTTGTAATTACAAAGACACAATACATTTAATGAGTATCCTGTTTGTGATAATTAAATTAAACATCGACAGGAATCAATACACAGCGACGACGATTCTATTATTCAACTACTTACGTTGAGTTTTACATTGTTACACATCTACTCATAAAACAGCCCTTTATGAACTTTCTCACTTCTTTCATAGAGTTTTTATACAGATGTTTCAACAATGGAAACCCGTAATATAGTCAAGGACAAAACATTATACATCGAATCCCGTAAAATGTAGGCGGAAGAAGATAAACATTTTTCTGTTTTTCGTGAAATTATATTCGTGATGTGTTTGCTGCAGATGTGAGATGCATCCTACGAAATGGCCCTCACTGGCCAGCGTGTGGGGCTCGCGGCGTGCGCTCGGCGGCCTGCACGACCCCAAGGACCCTCTCCTAACACTGCAGACGCTGAAGGCCCTCAAGTCGCTCAAGTCCCTGCAGTCGCTACAATCTCTGCAATCCCTACAGTCGCTGCGAGAGCTGCAGGCCATGCAGCGGCCGCCGCTCAACTGGCCGCACGTCGCCAGCCACGACTTCATATTCTACTCATCAAAAGGGGAAGAACCCATTATTCGGTAATTTATGTTTATTTTGTATCTACTCTTTTCGTTCGAAAATCAACTCGACAACAACATTAAATGAGCAAATGTGAAGCACGACTCAGGTATCTGGCAGATTTTGTTTTATTAATGTATATTGTCCCTTCCATAGTGAGGCTGTAAAATCACAAAAGATATCTTGTATTTCATAAGTTGTACAATTAAAATTTGTCATATTCTAGACTAGATAAGACACTGGGCCGAGTGCCGGGCGCGGGCACGTTCCCTCCACACTGGCTGCGGCTGCCCGCCACTCCACCGCCACATTTTGTAAGTACGCCTATTTACTTTAAGAATAACAAGCAATAAAACCGATTTGCTGTTCGCAGCACATTGCAAACCTGGTCTTCATTCGTTAGGCCTTAATTGAGTCGTTTATGGTCTGTGTGCAGGATGTGGGAGGCGGCGGAGTGGGGCAGACAGGGGCAGCGAGTAGGGCGCGGGGCGAGCGAGGCGAGTGGGGCGGGCTGGCGAGCGGCTGGGTGGCGGGGGCACTGCTGCTGCTGGCCGCGCTGCTGCTCGTACGCTTCGTCGACCGTCTCACCAGGAGGATACTCAGCCGTCAGTACTCGCATACTATCTAACACCAGGGAAATCCAGAAATAAAGGCAACCGTCCTCTACTAACACTCCACTACTCCATGTAATCTTATAAAAGGAGAGCTCTAATCTAATGTGAGCAAACAAAGACAAGTAGAGAAAACCTCAACCGTATCCTTATCTTACCAATCTCCAACCTTTCGGCTTCATTTCATAACGGTATTTTCCCGAGACTCAACTTCATAACGATAAACTAAAAGGAAAGTAAATGTATTAAGTTAGTATGTATAAGTTGTCCCTTTGTGTGTTTGGGATGATTCAAAGAAGATCCCACTTGAAACTTGAAACTCACAATACATTGCTTTCTGTATGTCCGGGTTTAGTACAATGTCAACTGTACAAGTGTACGTGTGGTTTCAGTGAGAAGGCGACCGTCGGTGGAATGGCCGACTCCTACCGTCCTTGCGACATCGCGTAAGTCCCCCCTCTGTCTCACTACATCGGTGACGGACATGCTTTCTATCTCGCATTTCACATTCTCAAATATAACTTCATATAAATTTATTATTCTTATTTGACCTGTAAGGAATAGATCAGCTGATTGTGACTCATTTATTTCATTTTTAGATAGAGTCGTAAAAATGGTTATGGAGTCTTTTATCTCGATATCCTGCTCCTTCCTCATTTCCATTCCATGTTCTCGCTTGTCTAGTACAACATAACTAACATCTGTAGCCTAACAAAATACATTTATATCTATGCATTGATGTAATCTATCCTATCACCGTCGAGGACTAAACTCAAAAAACTATAAAAAGGCAAACTCATAAGTAGCTAATGCAGACAAATTACAGATAACGTTTTTATCGGTTTTTTTTTCAGAACAATACTTGGAGGGAGACGACGTGCCTTCTCGATCGCAGTCCGACGATAACGCGGACCCGCCGCCGCCGTACTCTGCGTGCGCGCCCGCCGGCATGTCCGCCGCCGACAAGCGAGCTGTGACCCTCGAGGAGCCCCCGCCGCCATACTCCGCCTGTTATGTCGCCTTCTCTAACCCGAAGGAGGGCATTCCCTCCGTGCATTTTTACAACGGACAGGGACAAAGCCTTAGTGTGGAGTCTGAGGGGAGCATTAGTGAGCCCAAACTGCAAAATGTAATCAACAAAAGTGATGGTTGTGATAATGTAATCGTGTCAGCTGTGAATTCAAGTAGAGAGGAGACAATCGTTATAGACTCGATGCCGTCGACCAGCGGCACGGCCGGAGGAGGGAGACACATTGTCAATATCGGCTGAGCTCTCAGCCTGAGAACAAGCTTTGTTATCAAACTTCAAGCAATAAATAAGTGATAATTATTTTATCTTAGCTCCGGCGGTCCCGGTTTCAATAAGTATACTTGAGGCACAAACTTAGGGTGCGTAGTGACACGGAAAATATTTTTAATCCAATAACTTCATGTTGTATTTATTCCTAGAAATGTGTAGATTTAAATTGTGCTTAATTGTAAGTATTTAGGAACATGTGACTTTTGTGAAATATGACAATTATACACTGAATATAATTTACAAACATTATTGTGTGCGTTTCATTTTGTATCAGTCAGTGAGATGCGACTTCTTGTAACGCGATCAGAATAAAAGTCGCTATTTTTGTTTGGTGACAGTGCTTTATTAATTAAATTAATCTTATTTGCGATTAAAACTAAACAACTATAAATGCAACCGGAACTTGGAACTAAATATAATTATAATATTCTCGTATAATTGATTATACAACATTTACATTTTATTTTTATGATTATAAATATTTAGCACCGCAATCATACAACACGTTACAATATATTCTATTCTTATATATATTTATTAAGATACAATAACATTACTTATGTACATTATGTATTTATTTCTAACCCTGTACTTACTATTCATTGCTTATTATATCATTTTTGTATAAATGTGTCATATTCTATTTAAAAAAAGCATACACAATACATTTATAATATATTTTAATCGTTAAGCTCCAATATGCAGTACAATAATAACATTTCATGTTCAATGAATCTAACATATTGAAACCTAACAAAACATATATATATATATATATATATATATATATATATATATATATATATATATATATATATATATATATATAGAATTAAAACATACATACATTAGTTAAAATAAAACTTGAGTATTTCTAGTTATATCCGACTTGAAGGATCAATACAGTAATTACTGAATACTACACATTTAAATGTGTACAAAGTATCATAAGATGTTTTTTACTTTAGTCAAAAAGCAGAAATACTTGAAATATAACAGAATTAAACTAATTATAAGGAAACGCTGTACAGATACAGATACAGATACAGAACACAATACTGATTGTTGACACGAGTATAAACATTAACATCTGTTTGTATTACACAAGAACATGTTGGTAGAAGAACATATACTTACTTGAGAGTTATTTTGATAGTTAGATCCAGACTTAAGGATGTAGAGAAGGATGCATGAGAAGTATGTGCTGTGCGCGTCTAGAGCTCGTGATGTCTGCGCACATAGCGCGCGAAGTAGTCTGGTCTCCAACACTTGCAGGAGCCCGGCACCAGGAACCAGTCGTAGTACAGCCGCACCTGACACAACACACATCTCACTCTCTCACTCTCTCACTCTTTCTCTTCTAACATAATACTAATGGATATGGATCAAGAGCTGATATTAAATGGCTCCTCGAAAAATAAGAGAATCCGACTGAACAGTTAACATAAATGAATTTGACAACCAAACTGAAGAATGTGACCGACCTGATAGCAGCCTTGTGATGTGTTGGTATCACAATGCACGGACTTCTCAGAGCTGCCGTCCTGCGCCTCCTCCTGTAACGTACAGAAGTATACTTGTAGATAAGAGTTGTGTATGAAGCAGCGAGGAATGCAACAATGGAGTGGTTGTGCAGACATGTTGTGGCTGGGGCTGGTGGTGCAGCTCGGCGACCAGCAGCGACACCCAGCGCGGGGAGCTGAGACATCCTCCCTCCAGGAAGTGGCAGCGCGACTGCATGCATCTGCAACACAAACACAAACACATACACTTATATACTTGCGTATTTCGGGCCAACGCTGCTTTTTTTCATTAAACGCGGTAGCAAATGAGCGAGTGACCATCAAATCCGCTAAAGTAGGGAATCGAATATTTCCCTTTATCATGTGTCCTCTCCGATCCCTTTTCCATCTTTTCCTTTATGATAAACAGCGACATCACACTTGTCAGACGAAACGTGAAATCGCTTCCACTTATCGCCCTTCTTCTGCCTTCGAGAGAAGCAAAATAATTTGTTTCAAATGTGATAATATTTGATCTCAATTTGAGCAATCCGGTGTCCGACCTGGTGACCTCGACGGTCTGTGTGAAGTATCCCTCGTATGGTATCTGCACGACGTAGCGCCACACGCCCTGGTAGTTGCGCGCGAACACCGGCGTCGCGTACTCCACGCGCGCGGGACATGGCGTCGGCGGACCCTGACACCACACACACGCTATTACATCACACCTCACACCTCGCACAACTACATACACTGGGGCTCAACAGTAACACTTAAGTTTGGGGATCTTTGGAGTAATAATCTTTTTTAATAAGTTCATGCTAATAAACAAGTGTGTAAAGACCAATAACCTCATAGCGGGCAGGGACTGGAGCCGGAGCGCCGGGGTCCTCGCGGCGCTCCGGGCCCGCGGCGGAGTCGCCGTTGATCGCACGGTACAGCATGCACAACCTGCGATTACATTTTTATATCAATATACGTTATGTACTCTTAATATAGTAAATAAAGTAGAGCTAAAATAATAATTTTGTTTCTGAGAAATTAAAGCAATAAAAAGCTGAAAACATCGTGTTATGTATGTAAGTTTCGAACGTTTGCGCATTGCTGTGACATTGACAGGAGACGAGACAAACTTTTTGACATTGACGTTTCACATTTTGAAATTTTGAGAGAGGTTAGAATTAATAGTCGCTTACAATCCGAAATAAATGTTTTCTCAGAGTTTTTTAGTATTAAAATGTCATCAGCTTTAGTACGACAAGCGCTCGCATTGGTTGAAGGAGAAGGTGATCAGTAGATAATTGTACATTTTGTTTGCGATGAGTTTAACTGTGTAACGTGGTAATAACAACCGATATATTGTTACAGAGAATAGTGGACAGAAACAACGTAAAGGAAAGAAAAAGAAGACGCAACCTCAGGAATTGGACATAGTTCGAGGTCAGTTATGTAGATTGTAATATAGTAATTTTAATTATGCAGTTGTTACGTCACTATACATTAAATGTAAAATAATAACCGATTATTCTTCGGAAAAGTAATTGACTCGTACCCGGCAACAGTATTGTACGTGAATATATCACTGATATTAAAAATAAAACTGGTGAGTGATAAAAAAGATAATTACAGCCTTGACTTTTACAATATAACTATAAAATTATTATCTTTCTGTATCCCAATAATAATGTGTTAAACTTTACAGACTTGAATCATCCATACAGACGTACAAATAAAAAGACACAAAAAGAAACGAAAAAGTCGGAAAAGGAAATCGAAGAAGATAATATCAAAAAGCTCTTGGCTTTATCAAAGCCTACTGCAAACAGTGCTGTTGCTAAAAAAGTAAGTAGTAGGTTAGATGTACTAAGCAATTGTTTATGTTAGTGTTCAATGTGTTGCTGTTAGTGATATCTTGAAGACAAAACATTGTCAAAATGTTATGCCTACCATTGGAGTGGTACAGTATAAACGAGTAGGACATGTTTTTAATTTAAATCATAATAAAATAGTAGATTTGAGAACTAACTTGTCTAATACTAAGTACTTTAGTATTAGACAAGTTATACCAATAGATAGATGAAGCCACTTGATGTGTTGAGATGGAATTTTTGCTGTGTATTAAATCTTTCTTGACATAATTTAACATTAATGCTTAATGCATATAAAACTGTGTGTCAGCAATATTTAATTTCTTACTATCAAATAGTTTATTGCTTTGTTTTGAACAGTGATAAGATAAGAGCAAGGTCTTGTAAGCATTGTGTGAACTGAGTTCACTATTGTGTGTTGTATTGTGAATTTATTAATGTTAAAATATTAAAATTATGATAGAAAATATATAGGTTAAAGTTTAAACATTTTAAAACAATTATTTTGGTGTTGCTTTAAATTTGTACCGTAATTTTTTGTTATTTCAAAATTTTCATTCAAAAATGATAAATCTCATTTTAATTTAAAAGTGTATCATAAAAAATGAACATAGCGTTGATCTAACTGTGGGTTTCTGACATTAAAATCACCGTTTAAAACATTCCGTTTTATCTCTTTTGTTAAAGATAAATTTATAGGGATAAGTTTTAAATAGAGATTTTGGTGTCTTAAACCCATGATAAGTAATTTCAGGAAAGTGTCATTATTTTTACCAAACTTATATTATTTCCAGATTGTAGAGAGAGCTGTTAAACGTAAGCCATTATTGGACAAGATTAAAGTGAAAAAAGACGATCACAAATCAATTCTATTCCCGGGAGAATCTTACGAGACATTTGAAGAGGAATATTTCTGCAGCTAATTTATCAAAGTGTAACGGTGTGTTGTGGCAATGCATATATGGACGTACCAGATGCGGTGTTAGGCAAGTTCACCCTACTGTGTACGGTTACCATTTTTGTAGTTCTCGTGTTCTGGGTTAATACCTATCCTTTTATAGATAAAGGTAAGATTTAATTTTTTTTTATTTCTTTTAATATGTATTAGGTAAAAAGATAATTATTTATTGATTTGACAATTGTTTTAGAGATTTTTTCATTATGTTTTATAATTTCAGATTTATCAATATACGAATACATTCCGGATCCAAAGTGGGCGTTATTGGGCTGCGCTGTTTGGGGTTTTTTATTCATCGGTGGTCTAATGTCCTTCACTCTCTACCACATATACCCTTACTTATAACTCGCTACAAGATGACCAATGTATCCGACAAGTGGGTTGTCATCGGAGTCTCCGGAGTCACATGTGGAGGGAAGACGACTTTAGCGAATCAATTGAAAGATAGATTAACTCCGGTGTACGTTTTCCATCAAGATAAATATTTCTACCCGGACGATAGTCCTCACCATGTGAAGTGCGAAGGCTTGGAACATAATAATTATGATATACTATCCTCCTTGGATATGGAAAAGATGTACAAAGATATAGTGAGCACTATGGAGGGACAGGATTGTTCACACAACTCATGTAAAGAGAGAGAAGAGGGCAGATTGGAGTTGAAAGGAAAGAGTTTTTTGATAGTGGAAGGTTTTACAGTGTTGAATTATGCACCTATCATGAATATTTGTAATTTAAGGTGGGTCATGTTTTTTTATTTGTGAGGTCTATACAAAATCTCATTTAAAACATTATCTCTATGTGTACTGTGCACAACTAAACATTATAATATTATAAACAGATACAGACAAAAGTGAAAGTGTGGTCGGATCACATAAAATGTCATGAATATTTAATAAAATTTTTAATGTGTGTATGTGCAGGTACTACTTTGTGTTGGAGTACGCGGAGTGCCAGGTGCGGCGCTCACACCGGCTGTACGAGCCCCCGGACGTGGCCGGGTACTTCGACACCTGCGTCTGGCCCGAGCACCTCCGATACCGCGCTCAGGTCACACACAGCTCACCTCCACCATGTGTTGCGTCTCAATGTAGTATAATACTAGTCATTCATACTACCTTACTCATCTGACCTGACACGAACTTCAATTATTGATTTTTTATCATTTTAACTTTACAAAATATGATTTTTATATCAATGAATTTCTCCTATGTCTGTGTCACTCCTTGTGCTGGTTACTCAAACATAATGCTTGTAATGTTTAGATAGAGAAGGACAGACGTGTCACAATACTGGACGGCACGCGACAGGACGCGCTGCAGCAGGTCATGGCACACCTGCACAACATGGGGGCCACCGCACTGACACATGCCACATGACACCCCCACGCCACAAGTGACAACAACATCGTCAATGACACCACTAGAGCTTCTTTGGATTATTATTAGTGTTAACTTTTTCGCAGTAAATATTGGAGATTTTTTATGAAAATGTATATTTACTTTATGTAAAACAAAATGTTAACATATTTTTGCGTGTCAACTTATAATTAAGTATTATTTTATAAAATATGAAAATGACAACTTCGAATAGTTTCAATCGTCATGTTATTTATGAACAGAGAATATTGTTACACAGAGCCTTATCAATTTGCCTTACGAATTTATAATGTTTCGTTATTATTCACATTTACACGATTTAATATAAAAGTGTATCACAATCGACAATGTAGTGCACAGATTTAAACACATATATCAAATGTTTGCTTCATAAAGTTTATAAATATAATTCTGCTGATACAATGTTGCTCATTTTCCTGCTTGTGCATATAAAATGTATCAATAAACTTAAACTATTAACTATGCAATTACTTTTATTTCATTGAACTCAGCGTATTTTTTTTTGTGACTGAGCAGTCACCGTTTGCCTTGAGGAGGCATTTACAGCATCACCAGGCTTGAGGTGGCCGAGCGCAGATGGCGCTTAGCCTGAACCTCGATATTTAAATTTATGATACGTGTATAAAATATGTGAAGTGCAGCAAACGTTAGCGTGTGCTGTAGTACGAGTAGCGACATCTAGTACAAAGTGGAGGTACTCACACTCCGCCGCCCTCACAGAACTTGCGACTCTCGCGCGGCCCCTCCGCCCCCGCACCCTGCTCCAGCGACCGCCGCGCCCTCTCCTCCAATCTGAGAATTATCTTATGCTTATTGATTCCTACATTGCACAGAAATAATAATAGCAGCCTAAAAGTAAAAAAGAGATACATATCCAATGAAATCTTTTGCATGGGTCAATGATAGTTGTAAGACAGGTGCTAGAAACATGAACAATATGCAATGTGCAACCTGTTGCCATTGATGTCCGCTAGCTGCGGCAGCTCGGCGGGGTAGTGTGCGCCGGTCGCGGGGTACTGAGCGCGATCCGCGGGGTAGTGTGCGCCGGTCGCGGGGTACTGAGCGCTATCCGCGGGGTAGTGTGCGGTGTCGGGCGGGTGCGGGACGTGCGCGACGCGGGGCAGCGCGTCGTCTGCGCGCAGTACCGGCAGAGTGCGGGACAGGAACCTCAGCGTCTCGTTGCGGATTAACTCGCTGCAACACATCTCATGTCAAATATTGTACAAACGTAGATTTAATTACTTAACGACTGTAATAGAAATCTTACTAATATTATAAATGCGAATATTTGTAAGAATGAATGAATGGATGTTTGTTAAAAGGTATCACCAGAACGGTTGCATGGATCTCGCTGAAATTTGACATATACGTTAAACTTAGTCTGGAAGAATACATAAGTTTTTTTTAATTCCGTGTAAAGTGATGTTCGAATTGTGTTCTGAGGAAACGAGGTACAAGAGGAAGATACTGACAATGGGTAAGGCTGTCCGTGCGGCAACTGTCCGAGCGGGTTGCGGGGCACGAGGCCGCGGTTCAGGTCGCCGCACAGGTTGAGGGCGGTGACGTGCGCACGACCTCCCCCCGCACCTCCCGCACCCCCCACACCACCAGCACGTCCCCCGCACTCCGCTGACGACTGCCGGTACGGAGGAGGACGCACTCTGGACACAATACATTGAAATAATCAAGATTATATCCTATTATAAGCTTGAAGCTTTATTCTAACAAATATCTGCTAATATTTTGAAAAAATTCAACATAGTTATGTTGCGTCATTCAAAAAAGCGGTAAAAGTTTTGCTAAATATCTAACACATTACCGTTTTTCCACATAAAGCAAGCAATTAATTACGGTACTGAATTTGAGCTCAGCAGAGTTCACTACAGCGGGAGAAAGTTGTTTGGAAAAACCGCGCCAGCGCTGCACAGATTGTTGTTATTGAGAGACTCGGTAATGACTAGCAAATATACTATTTTCTCTAAATAATAAGCAAATCGTAGTTATCAAGATTAAGCGTATAGAAAAAAAGAAGCTGACTTACGCAACATTTTTCAATTACTGTTTGTAATTCTGCAGGCTTTCTAAAACATATGTTTGTTTTTGCTAATCAAATTACCTTGGAGGTGTGGCATTGGGTGACTCGACGAAGGCATAGTAACCCTCCGGTGGCTCCTCGCTCTCCGTACTGCTGGCGGGCGCTGCGGGGGCGACGGGCGCGGGGACCTGCTGGCACAACGCGCCGCACCACACGCTCGCCAACACCTGTACAATACATTATCATCTCTCCTTAACCCACTCACGTTGAAGCAAATCAAGTTTTCTTCCTCTAGATCAAGCTATCCGTCATTTCAAAAACATGTTTAGAAATTATATTTTGCGAAAGGCATGTATGTAGATAATAAAGAAACTATAATATAATGGTGCACCATGCGAAGTAACAATTTAAGTAAGTGAAACCGCAATAAGTAGAGCGTGCTCCATACAATTACAGTGACAGATCGAGACAATAGTCTAAGAGCTGGCTGAGAACAATGCCAGATACACGCTACCTGACTTATAGTAAACTTTAACGGTATATAATGCTTGGCATGCTTATTAAAAACATTTCACAATTTATATTTACATTCTTACAGTAATTAAATGACTAATTAATTAAACTACCAAAATAATACTATAAACTATATACTAAAACTAAACCAAACTAAAAATAAAACTAAATAATATAAAAAAATCAATTTATATTGTTTTAAATCGTACGCAATTTAGTCGTAGTATACCGTGATATGATTAACTTGTCAATTGTTTGTAGAACAAAGCACTTTAGTTAAATAGTACTGGCGCAACAGAGTTAGCTGTCTGTACAACGTTTTAATTATAACAACAATAAGCCTTAAATATAAAAATAATGGTACATTTTAATTTCCCCAATTCTTTTGCCGTCTTTAAAGTTCATTCATAATTATATTTCGTTAAAATTACACTTTCTTTAAATTGCATATTTTAAATGAGAAAGACATGAATTATATTAATTATCTTCGTGTGCAACTAATAAGATTATAATAAGATATATTCCAAATGTAATTGTCTGACTTTCTACACAATTACTTTTGATTTCTACGAGTGCTTTGTTTAGAGGTTACAGTACCGCTAACTCCGGACTTGCTTTACTTCATTATATCACACGAGGACAATGCAGTACTGCAACAGAACGCACACTTACTGTCACTGTGCGTTCTGTTGCCCCATTGTTCTGTCCTCGTGTGAAATAAGCATTAAAATGTTAATGTTTTCTGTCAACGTTTTAGAGCGCAACAAAGATATAATATCTTTAGGTGATCGTCAGCTGATTGTTACGGTACAGTCAACATACAGCATCAATTGAGCTTTTATTTTCGGTCGTATTGTGACAAAAAAGCACGTATATATTGGCTTCACTGTACTTGTGTTCCGCACAGAGGTGATGTGGCCCAGTTGCGCTCACATACCGTAACATAACCGTTCTCATGTGTTCTTACTTCCCATGAAGACAATACTTTGATACTAGTCATAGTAATATAAGATTCAAATGTTTACAACCGACAACAAATGCAGCAGCATTGTATATTCTGGTATTCGTAGAAAGCAGAGCGTGACGCGATGCGCCTCGTCTTGTCTTGCCTCTCCTGATATGGACATGTTTACCGTTGGTTCCCACTACCGCAACATATAAGAAACATAATTATAATCACTGTCATTTTCTTTGAAAACAATATATATTTTTAGAGCAACTTGATAACAGAATTAAAAATGTTCTAATATATTTATATTATACAAGGTCAAACTAGCCGATGACGTCACACATACTGGCGCAGTACACTGCATAACACAACCAATGTCATTGTAACGTGTAGTCTTCATGCGTGGCACACCTGAACGCGACTGTACCTGCTGTGAGTACCACGTGAAAGTGTAACGGGACCGCGGAGTACGCGCACAGAATACTGACTGTACTTCACAGCATTCTTACACGCATTTGTCACAATGAATGTATCTGTAGCTCAGTGACAGAATAATTGAGTTTTTCAATAATCTAACTCGAAATAAAAGAATAATTATTGGTAGGCTTCTCTATAAAGTTAATCAAGTCTATTATAGCAAGTATTTTTGTAAGTCGGTCGCATTCCTGCGCCGCGCACAGCCGCACAGCCGCACAGCCGCACAGCCGGCGGGCAGGCGGCGGCAGCGGCGGCGGCGGCGGCGCCTCTAGAACCTGCTCTATTGTTAACTCTCGCATGTTTCTAACAGGTTTACACTGACAGTGAGCGCACGCGCAGGATATACGAACTGTTGACTACATTTTCTAAATGGAAAATTTAACATAATATTTTGATTATCTTGAATATCTCGTAAAACATGATATGACGTATGCGTTTTAAATGATTCAAAAAGTGGCCTATAACGCCCGTCTGCGTCAGCTACCTTTCTGTGAAATTGATCTAATCGTTCCAGAGATTACTAGAAACAAACGCAGCCTTGCGTACAGACAGACGAATGTACGATATATGTTTTTTTTCCATATAACATACTACGCCACTTCGACTTTAGACTAGTATTTTTTGTAGCCTCATAATATGCTCTAAACTCAAACTAAAAGGAAATCAAACTTACGACTGCGTGGTCGATATTCCATCCCCTTAAACATTTTCATCATCCTCTAACATACTTCAAATGAAAAAAAGCTCGAATCATTTTTAAACAACAATCGAAACATATAAATATCCTTATTTGTGTTTTATAAATGCCTTGTACGTGTAATGAAAAGTAGTCTGTGTGGGAAGACGACCGCAGTAACGGTATCTCAGGAGAAAGCTCCCGACATGTCCTTAACTGACTTCCTATGTAAACTATAAAGCCTTTTACAGCTGTCTTTAGCGATTACCAAATCTTACTTGTCTATGATGTTTGTATTTATATCAGTACTAGCTGACACCTGCGACTTCATTCGCGTGGAATACAAAAAACATAATTTCTAGCTTATGTGTTCTTTCAGTCTGTGTTCTATACTTATAACAAATTTTAGCGAGATCTATGCAGCAGTTCTGAAGATTCCTTCTTACAAACATCCATCCACATAAAATTTAAGTAAGATATAGTGTCAAAAACTTTCACTATTACGCTATAGTTATGGACAATTGTAAATATAACATCGAGTAACATAAGTATTATATTTATATTATATTACTTATATTCAAGTTGTGTTATGTCCACTAAATCTTTTGTAACATGGCAGATTAGTGTCACTTTACATATAAGTGGAAGTTAAATGGTCACCTTGTACGGCCTCGACCTCAAATAAGATGTTTGTATGTCTCGATGTGGGACGCCATCTTTATATTTAACGGTTCCTTTAAATAACAATAAATTCCAAATTATATGATGAGTAAACTTATATTTTCACACGATTGACTCAGGGAGTCGTGTTTAACAAGCGATTTTGACCAGTGATTTTGGTTTCATACGATTTGCAAAGCCCTGGAGCGGAATTGACGGAAATATCGATGACATGACATTCTCACTAATTCCCTGATCTAGGTCCCAGGTTTAGATATATTATATCCTGGTGTTACACTTGTAAAATGGGTCAGGCACCTGATAAGTCTATGTGTAACGTGACAATTGGAGCGAGCCCACTCATGCAATATGCATCACTAACGGCAAACAGCCTGCCGAGGTGTTGCTCACCGCATTCTTACGAATTGCCGTTAGCACAGTTATCTTACGTGACCACTAGATGTCGCTGTACTGCTTTACTGTTTGTTTACTGGAACCGTACTATATTTGTATACCAGTGGTACTTAATCAAGGTCATCATTAGTCAACTTAAACATTATAACTGTATTTCCGTTTTTTGAAATGAAGCCACGAAGGTGGTAAAATAAATGACTTTTTCCTTCTTCGATTTAAGTACGTAACAAAATTCCTTTAGGGATAATAGGAAAACATGATATGCTTCAGTCATTGTTATTCAAAAATTTTTCAACCTACATAAATACTGTACGACACCGACAAATCTCAGGGATTTATTTCATTTTGTTGGGTATTAGTTTCATCCAGCCAAAGCCTATATAGTTTATACTAGTACATACCACTAGAATAATTCGAATAAAACTTACCAAATAAAGACAATTTAGTTTCATTTTAAATAATTAATCAATGTCCATACACTAGTTAAACAATACGCACAACACTTTCAACAGTTTACTAAAATTTCACGTAAACTAAAAAATATTAAAACTTTCCAGTTGGCGCGCTTTTCTCGGTCATCGCGTCTTTATTTTTTTTTTATTGTTGGTAGAGGCACCGGTTGGTATCGCGTGTAGTCAGCGAGAGTCGCTCTGACTGTCTCCGGCCGGCGGACACACAACCGCACAAGAGAACGGCAACTTTTCTATTCCCTGGAGAAAGCATATCATATAGAGCTACTACTCGAATAATATTTATTTGAATACTTCACGCTCATCAAATTAATACATGCTATCAAAATAAATTATCCCAGGTGTATCAGGTCGAGCCATAAGCTATACGTTTTTGTATAAAATGTTTATTTGGTCTCATTAAATAAAATTAAAATATAAATAACAAGAACCTATTATATAGTATAATAGTATCGACCATCGCTATTTGTGGCCTTCTCCCTTGTATTTTAAGAAGAACAAACGACTGGAATTTTAGAGTCCAAACCAGCCAAATTTCAAATAAAAATTTTCGAACAGCTCTAAGTAAATTTCTCGCTATAGACGTTACTTGGCGCCACACTTCGCGCCATTTCTCGGCAGCCATAACAGCAGGCCGCGCGTGCCGCAGCAGACCTGCCCGCCAGCCGTTCCACTACGGCCGCGGCACACTGACCTTTATTTCGCCACAATTAATTAAATTTCACCATTTCATTAGGAAAATAATAAGATCTCATGATTTTGAATAACCATAATAAGCCGTAACCGTTAGAAATCATTTAGACTTAAACAGTAATAGGCAAATAAGTTTTATAAAGTAATTATAAAGACGACAATCGATTCAAATCCTAAAAGATTTTGTTCTTGAATCTCTTGATTAAGCGCTGGAAACTTTTGTAACTGATTATTTATGACCACAATCATATATTAACATCTATATTACATTTTTTTTAAATAAACAAAAAATGTATTTCACATCGTCAAGTCGTTATCATCTCCCGCCAAACCGCTGATACAGTAACCACGATATAATTACAAAGGTTAGTGCACACACTTTATATATCCTGTGATGTACCTATTTATTAGTTTTTCTATTAAGAACATAATAGTTTCATACGTCTAAACACAGAATCTTACAGTATTGTTTTAAAGATTTCGGAAAATGATAAAACTCAAATAATTTGCAATTTCTTTTAAAGTTATGGTCAAATATCCAGAGACCAGGAAGCGAAATCACTCGATTCAAAAATAAAGATAAGGTTTTTTAAGTCTCTTATTTATGTCAACCAAAAGAAAAGGCCTATAAACTTAAGATGAATGATGAAACAATTAAATCAATAAATTACGTAATCAATCGTGTAGCCCCACCCTAAGTCATTATCAGTAACATTTGACCTCGTTTATTAATGAGAGAGACATCGGCATTCTCAGTTATTTCTCACAAAGCGCGATGTCTCGTCCGGTGCTCTCCACGCACGTGCTGGACACGTCCACCGGCACTCCAGCGGTGGGCTTGTTTGTGGATCTGTACAAGAAACGCGACGAGTCGTGGACTCTGTGGCACAGTACAACGACATCTGGCGACGGGCGGGTACAATTTCCCTTCTCGCAGGACTCCATGGCGGCGGGCACTTACAAACTGAAGTTCAATGTCGAAGATTATTTTAAAAAGAACGATAAAGCTACTTTATATCCTTTTGTTGAGGTAGGTTTATGTTATAGTTGTTTATTTACTTATTATTATATGTTATAGTAATTATAATATTTGATATTTTAAGAAACTGGTGGAAACGCCATCGTATTTTAGGCCAAAAGTAGACACGTAAGTGATATAGCACTTAAGCAGTTGAAGAATAATAAAAAAAAACATTAGTGTAATATACTAAATTGTGTCGTACACAGATCGTGTTCAAGGTATCTGAGGGCGCGCACTACCACATCCCGCTGCTGCTCAGCCCCTACGGGTACACAACATACCGGGGTAGCTAAACTATTACAAGTCGTTTCAAATATCTTGCCGGCTCAATGTCATTTTCGCTTCTAAAATTAACTTTTGCGCAGCGACTCGCAATAAGTTAGTAGCCACACATCACCTAACCACAAAAACTTCCATATTAAAATTATATGTTTACATAATCTTGTTTTATTCTTTCTCTTTACTTAATAGATTCCTGACGATAAATAATACGAACTATTTCCATCAAAATGAGTTAATTTTTAGGAATCAAAATATTTTAGTAATTAAATTAAAAATAGTTTCTATATATACCAAATATTATCATCATCAGCTGAGTGTAAATCCCCACAGGGCTCGAAGCCTACCCTAAGTTAAGCGTGACTAGGTCCATATTCAACCGCGCGCGCCCAGTGCTGGTTGGTTGACTTCACACATATCTTTGACTTTCGTCTCAGATGTGTGCAGGTTGCATCACGATGTTTTCCTTCACAGTCAGAACGTCAGATAAATATACTTATGTAAATTGACATAAAAAACACATTTGTACATGGCGGGATTCGAACCCAGGACCTGCAGATATAGAATTGGGTTGGTTTAAAATAGAAAAAATAAAACGAGGTTTATATAAAATAGTATATAATAATTATGTATATACTTATGTTAAAGTAGCTTAGTCTACAATTTTAAACAATATTAACAAAATGAAGGTAAAAAAAATTACGACTTGGAGAATTTATTACAACTTTTCATTAATCTATAATTTTTTCGTGATAAATATTTAATAATGAGTTGTTTGAGACTAAAACATAATTTTACTCCTAACATGTGAATAATACTTAATAATATGCTGAAAGTTATTAAAATATCCTTAACAAATTGTTCTGACAACTATTTACTAGATAAAACTAAATATAATACAAAATTGAGTCTGCTCTTTCAATAAATATAAATGCGGTATGCATTTCATACAAACTACAACTTGCTACAAATGTTCATACTAAAATTCTATCAATATTTGAAGTGAAGTTTGCTTTCTTGTGTGTAGTCTTCCTTTCTGCTCTTTTGTTGGGAAATTATATAATAAATATTTAATATTCATTTGTTTTTGTTTCTATTCATAATAATTATATTATAAAAATGACCTCTATAATTGTCTTATTAGTTAAATAAATATCTAATAAAATTTTATTATTTTAACAACTAGTTGCTCATTTGCTCTAAAAAAAAACAAAACAAAAAATTTGTCTTTTATAATGGAATTCATTTAAGTTCACATCTTCATCAATCTAATTGAAATATAGGTACGGTTTGTGATGGAGGGAAAGTAAAAAAAAAACGAGAAAATTAGGTAATTCCTATTCCTGAGATATTGTACATGTGAAGAGAAATATCAACAGAGGATGTATTTTGTAAGAGAACTTTGTTTGGCACGGAGTCTGGTTGCTGGTGTTGACTCTGCAATGTAAATGGTCATAATTGTCAGTAAAACCATAGTAAATATAGAGTTGCACATGTCCCAATGTCACAAGCACTAATGTTATATCACAGTTTCAATCACAGATATTCTGTCCATGTCCTGTCTAAATGTTCCATGTTCACTAATTACTTGATGAATCTTCTTTTCTGTTACCTTTCTGTGTAAATTTACCTAAATATAGCTTAGCTACTGGAATATTGTAGAGCGGGATTTCATCGTCAACACACTTTAAAAAAAACATGATGTCATCTCTCACATTTCCTTCAAAAAAGTAAGAGACAATAATATGTTTTAATACAAGTGTCGTGACAATCAAATTACACTCATAGACTAATAAAAAAAAATCATCAGACTAAGAATATAAGGCACTCCTATAACATGCTGATATACAATGCATGTAGTTGTAGACAATGATTTTATAATTATTCATTCTGTACACCTAGAAAAAGTATATTATAGTATAGTATAGTATTCCTCGAAGTGGCATTTTGACAACAATATATTGATAGATAGATGTATGGACCTGTGGAAAAAAATGAATGAATAACACAAAGATATAAAGAAAAACTCACCGCGCAGTGAGGGCGCACGCCGTACGGCCGTTCTATCGTACGGCGCTTGCGGCCGCCACATCTAGTGTTGTGAAATGAGAATCAACACATTAGAAATGTTTGCAACATGTCGTCTCCGATGGAAACATCAAACCCAGCATTTTCATCATCAATCTTCATTGTCACTTACATAAAGATAATATTGTGTTTCACTTGATGATAACTTTCATGACAATACATAACATCCTAACATTTCATCATACAAAATATTGTAGACAAACTTTAAATACATGAGATGGTTGAGATGTTACAACATATTATGTTACTACTTATGTTATATTATACATTATTTTAATAAACATTTTAGAATTCACTATTTTCAACAACAACACAAATATGTCTAGCTTGTGTTCCAAACTAAATCCAACTATTACAAATTAAATTGTTCATTTATAAAACATTGTAACTGATTAAAATAATTGTACAAAGTAAAGAATTGATTTACTCCAAATCCACTGACCTCCAGAAATCCAACCTGCAAATAAACAGTTAACATTTAAATATTAAACCAATAAAACTCACCAATGATTTCCTTCCTCTTGACCGACAACTTCTTTGTAGCGAGCAATCATCAGCTTTTTCACAGTGTCTCTGTAGGTCTCCCCAGGTGTGGGGGTGTACACGCCGCGCTTCTGCCCCAGCCCCGCCAACTGGGGCCGTTGCTCCGCCTCTATGGGCGCTATCCTGCCCTGCTCTGTCTTGCCCAGCCCGCGGCCCTCCGACCAACCCATCTTTTGCAACATCTTGCCACCGATAGTGTCCACAACTGATGGAGGGGGATGTGACATGACTGGTGCATGCGAACTGTCAGAAGGTTCGTATCGCTTTCTAATAGGCGGCGGCTCATCCTCACCAAACTTCATCCTCCTCTCCGCCGCTCGGTCTCTGTACCCATTTGTTTGCGGCAGGAGATCATTCTTCTTGCGAAACTCCACCAAATTTTGTTTATGCAGGTCAGATAATGTTTTGTGTTTTGTTAGAACTTCCACGGATGGGAATTTACGTTTGCAAATAAGGCATGTCAGCTTGGCCCAATCAATGATACCTTCATCGCTTTCAAACAAACCGGGTTCAGTTTTTTTAACAAGAAATTCGTCAGTTGACACCGGAGGGGGTGATAGTTCCGGGACATGTGTCAAGGAGGGGCTGCTGCCCAGCACAGAGAAACCTATATCGGCTGAACCTTTACTGGCACCGGTATCTAAAGGTTGCTCCATTACATAATTGCTTCTAGCATTTTCTTTCTTTTGATTTAATGTTCTCGCCCATCGCTCCATATCTTTAGCAATCTTTTTAGCCACCTTCACTTTATCCTCCTTATCTTTCTTTTTCTTTTCCTCTGGCTCTTTTATAATAGTATTTTCTGTTGTGGCTTCCGGAGGGCTAGGCAGTTTTGGCTGGTCTGTGTTCTGCTGAGTTTGGGTGGCAGCAATATAAGTGGATGATGTTGCATCCCAGTACATGTACAAACTTAGCTGACTGTTATAAAAGTATTGGGTTGCACCATCATAGTACAAGCCTGTGGCAGGATCATAGTAATATCCAGATGTTTCATCATACATAAATGTTCTAACATCAGGTGCAGTGAACACAGTTTTGCCATCACCAGTAGGAATTTTAGTTGCCGCATTCATTTGTGAATTTGAAGACACAAATGCAGGTGCAGACACAGGCACCCAGGACATTTGCCGAGCCTGAGCAGCATTGATTGCAGACTGGGCCACTGCTGCTGCAGCGTTGACTCTGTCTGCTTCTGAGAGTGCTGACGATGATGGTGCATTATAGTTTGGCATTTGTGTATAATAAGATGAATAGTCTCCTGAAGTAGTTGGAACAGTTTTTGGTAGTTTAGGTGGCTCATTATAAAAAGTAATTAAGACTTCTTTACCATCTATTTCAAGAGGTGGGTTTAAAGACATCAGCTCCATGTGAGCAGCTGAGGATTGAGAGATAGAATTGAAATTGATATAAGCAAGGCATTTTGAAGCCCCTGTCAATGTCTCTCTTCCTATAGTAATACCTGCAATAGAATCTATAACTTGTCTTGAGCATCTCTCTTTCAATACCTCCAAAATCTTTTCTTCTGTTGTCAAAGCATCTAAACGTCTGAAAAGAAGTCTCTTTGTTATACCAGAGTTAGGATCGGAGCTGTTTCCTCTTTCGGAGTCGATACCGAGGATGGTACCTTCTGTGCGTTTCCCTTGACAGTTGCGACGGTAGCAGACCTGACGACGTTTGAAATTGTACGAGCCGCATTTACAGAACCAATCTCCGGCGGAGCCATTGGGACTTTGTCCGTCCTCATATTTAGTGTCGCCACTCTCGGCATTGCTTTCATGTCGGTTGATTGCGGAAGGGCTGTTGGATTCCGAATCGTGATTCGGTGAAATTTGTTTCTCACTGCTGATCTTAGGCGGCGAAGGCGGGGCCGGTATGTCACGCTCATCGAAGCGCCTCAGCGGCGAGCGGCGGCGCTCGCGATCGCGTTTCTCGAAGCGCTCCCGCCCGCGGAAGCGGTCCGCGTCGCGGTCGTAGCGGTCGCGGCGGTCCCGGTGTCGCTCGTACTCGTACCGCTCGCGGTGGCGGTCCCTCTGAGGCGAGTGCCGAGGGCTTGGGCTGCGCCTCTGCTCCCAGGCGGGCGTCCGCGGTCTATCATCCCAGCGAGCGTCGTGCTCGCCCCAGCGGGAGCCCCGCTCGTCCCTGCGCCACGACATCGCTTGCCTGTGAACATCATCCGCATCGTGAAACAGATGTACTCACATACCCGATGCAGACGATCCTTCGTCGATGAAATGTGGCAAACCCGTTGAACAATGAACATCCCTCTTCCTATATACTGTTTACCTGCTGTAAGAAACTCGGATTCAATGTACTTGTGATCTGTCGACTGATTTGTCGCTTAAAATTGAAGGTTTGAATAAATCTATTCCACAATTATTATTCCCTTCTGAGTAATCTACGTTTAATCAAAGATTTAGAAGGGAAGACAAACACGCCATTTTTCTTTTCTCAATCAATTTCAAATAGCATAGATTAAAAACGCTAGCAGATTATATAATTGTCATTAAAAGCACAGAGCATATTATGTATCTATGGTATTAATCTCTACATATTTATATACTCTTCGCTCTACATGGTTTTTATGCATAATGGATAGTCGGGTAATTTGGGTCTATTTGATTTTCACCATTTTGACGCTGAAGGTAGCGGTGGCGATGACTCGCACGTCGAACTAAAATTCAAGATAGAATTTGTATCCCTTTACACAAACTGCGGCGTAGTGCTTTATTGCAAATAAAAGTGAGCTTTATACGACTGAAGCAAATTTTAATTTTTACTTTTCATGTTCTTCTACGCTTGCTTATTCATTGCTTTTTTTCTTCTAACGTTTGTCACAGACCTCTGGAAACCTAAATTTTTAAATAAAACTCTTTTGGATAATTGATTATCGGTAAAATGGTCTTTTAACCAATAAGTAGTGAATTTATTTACGCCAAGTTTTATTAATAACGGTATTTGAAATGAAAATAATAATTTAAAATGAGTTTCTATATTTTACACATTCTTGAACACCTAAATACATATCGTTTAATCTACGGTTCTTATTCTAAGTATTTCGTTACCTTGTAAGAATAAATAATAGACATAAATGAGAAAAAACGCATAGCTAGAGTAATTCTTACTACTATTACAATGAAAGCATTACATAAGGATATATACCTACATATTTCTAAATAAATGCACATAAAATATTATTATAAAATTTTTTATCACAAACGTAATTAAAATATTGTTAATTGAGGATTAAATAAAATCAAAAACGGTAGCGCACAACTACAAATTATGCAATTGATTGCAAAGATTAGATATTTGTTATTATACCATAGTTTCTTTGAGAAACTTTTACGATGAAATAAATAATTTAAAATAATTGTCATATATGTCGTATTATAATTATTATATACAAAAATAAAAAATATATTAGACATTATATGATTGTAAATGTTTGAAACTTGTAACAAATATTATAGGTTTTAGGTGAAATTAAATTAAATATCTGGCAATTTTTACAATGAGAGTACTTTTCTAATATTTACGCAATAATCAATACAATTCTCTATTTAAAAGTAAATGCAATGAATAGGTAAACGTCATACGAATAAATAACAGCATTAACTAAAAAATGGCTAAGAATCATGTTGTAAATATTAGGAGCACGCAGAATGTTTGCCGCTGACACCGCGCTCGTCCGCTCGGCACCGGCATCTACAGCGTGACGTCATCACGCCATCGACAACGTTTCTGCGCACGAGTAATACATAATGACACCCATTTTATAATTATGACATTATAGCGTCTGCAGCCACCAGCACGCGTCACAGGACATAATGTGATGGTTCTAGGATACAGGTGCTGCCTGTTGCTGGTGTCGGGGCCAGATGTCGGGGGCAGACGTCGGGGCAGGCGGCGCGGCGTCTAGTCGGTCCTGCCGGTGAGCAGATGTTCGCGCAGTGTGCAGATCTCGCGCTCGATGTTCTCGCGCGCCGCCGCCTCGAAGCACTCGAACTCCTCCGTGTGGAACAACTTGGGAATCTGCGAGAACTGGTTCAACACCTGCACATACACCGATTCGTTAATTTAGAAAGATAATTGTGTACGATATTAATTCTGAATCGGCAAGAGGAGAATGATTTTTGTCGAGGATGCGGCGATACCTTGATGCGCAGCTCGACGTAGTTGTGATGCGTGAGCTTGGAGTACTCGGCGCGCACGAGCTTGGCGTGCGCGTCGTACTCCTCGCGCGAGGCGGCCAGCACGGCCAGCTCGCAGTCCCCGAACAGCTGCAGGTCCCGCAGCGACACCTCCTGACCGTACCGCGCGCACTCCCCGCTGCAGCCGCGCCGCGCCGCCGCCGCCGCGTCGTCCGTCAGCAGCGCCAGCACGTACCCCGTCACCTCCTGCTGCAATACGCCGCGCCGTCAGCTCAGCACCCGTCACACCCCGCACACCCCGCTCACACCGCACACACCCCCGCACTCACCGACTCCGGATGCGACTTGAGCAGGTCGGCCAGCAAGCGCACGGTCAGCTCGGAGGGCGTGTGGCGCAGCACCAACGCCAGCTTGAAGGCCGCCGGCTGCGCCACGTCCCTCATGCCCTTCGACAGCAGGTTGTGCCACACGCCCGCCTGCGCACCTCGAGAGCGTCACGTAAAACAGGGACAGTAAAGAGACTGTAAAATTGATGCGTGTGACACACTGCGACAGTGCGTAGAGAATAGAGACCTGGTAGGCGACGCAGTTGCTGATGGAGTGCCACACGGAGTCCGGCGGCGAGGCGTCGACCACTTTCTGCCAGGCCTCGTCGGTGGCGGAGGGCGTTGTGGGCGCGGCGTGCGCTGAGTGCGCTGTGGGCGCAGTGGGCGCGGTGGGCGCGGCGGATGGGCACAGCACGGCGCAGGCCAGCCGCCACGTGCGCGCCGCCGCGCAGCCCTCGCTCTCCCCCGACACTGAAACACAACACCAATATTGTAAAATACAAACATCAACAAACACGACAGCATCCGAAGCAAATAATATTTTGTTCTTGCTGTTTTCCTCATACTGACTGAGTCCCCTGTGTTGCAGCAGATTAAGATCTTAAAGAATAAGATAAGAAATTAATAAGAAGTAAGCTGTATGTTAATAACATTATAAATGTGATAATTTGGATAGAGGTTCGTTACTGCAAATCTTCAAAACCCCCCAAAAAAAATTACTACTACTAATTTAATTACTTTTGTGAGTACTAATTACTAACTTTTTTATAGGCAGGCGAAGTCGCGAGCAAAAGCTATAGACTATGAGGAAAAACACGAAAACAAATGACTAAGTAATGAGACAAGATAACAATCCTCGAAGAATTTTAAAGAAATAAAACATAATTGAAAGTTCGTCCTGCGTCTGTATATTATTTTTAATGAATATCGACATAAGTCGTAATGTATTCTAGAACGTACGTATATCCAAGGAGTAAGGTTCATATGGCAAATAAACTATACTACTTGAACGACATCGATATATTTTAGATGCTAACACAATAATAATAAAGTTTAAAATTCATGCAAACATCACTTTATTCGATCGATTGCATTAAACATGATATGTTAATATATATTCTATTGTAGTCTGTATTCAGTTGGAATAAAGAATATTATCGATTGAATATTCGCTCAATGACATGTTTACCATGCACCGCGTCCCGCGTTACGATACCAACTTTCTGCGCCGCTCTCCGCCGACGCGACGACGAGATGACGTACGAAAATAATAAAATTGAGCCACCAAGGCTAACAAATAACAATACTTACAGCTATAAATAATAAATATGATATGTTCTACCGACTGATCAAGTAGGTACATTGCATGAAATGGAAATTGTAATTTTATTTGTAGTGGCGCGACCGCGGTTGCTCTACAAAACAATAGAGGAACGCATTGTCAAATTCTTGTTGTCGCAAAACAACGGCAATTTGTTTGATAATAATAGCGCAATAATCACAAAAATGGTTTGCGAAATAATCGTAACATGTTACTACTGTAATTTATGTCGTCGATGTCACACTGAGTGTGATATCTGAATATGCAAGCAAAGTATTATAACAAAAAGCCATCAGACATTTCGCATCAGCTGACAATAACTATGATAAAACACAACGTTAAAATAAAATGAAAATCATTTTAAATGTAAACACTGGCAACTTTATAAAAAAAGGACAATAAAAAACATTAACAATCACCTCCCATTTCCGGTATTAGCGCTCCCAGGGGCGTTCAGTGGCGGAGAGTGCGGGTCGCAGCAGACACCGGGGCAGGGGCGCTCGCTAAAGAGCACGGGTCGCAGCGCGTGACGTCACCTACCACATAACAACATTATTGAGCAACTTCAATAAGCCATCGTCGTTGGGTTTGTGTCGTGCACTTCACACGAGCACGAAACTTCCTTTACAATGACAATCTCCACATCCAGTATAATCAGCGGCAAATTTGAACAAAATGACAAAGTACAGTGCGACAAACATTAAATTAAATTAAAACATTAACTTTGGAACAAGTAGAGAAAAAAATCTTAGCGTAAAGGTCACGAAATTACAAAGCTAAAAGGAAAACATGAAGACAGTATTAATTGTCCGTTTAGTTACTAACAGATAAAATATAATTATGGAGATTGAATATAAAGCGTAATGAAGATGTAGATTGTTCGGGAGCAAGAGAAAACAAGGACGAGGCGCTATTGCTTGTGTTACGTACGTTATTAATAAATAAAAATAGAATCGATACGTACGTAGCGGGTCACGGTTTTCTCCGCTAATTTATGAAATTATATTATTGTAGAGCTGTGGCAACGCGCAACTCAGGACGCGGGGCGCTGCGGGGCGCGCGGACTGCGAGTGTCATGGCGGCGGCGCGATCGCTGCCCGGCCAGTGATGCCCTGCACAGTACCGCTCACATGCCACCATATCGATGTTATACTTGCTTCTCCTTAACACATCCAGTTAATGCGGAGAAGCAGAATCCTAGCGGTATATTGCATTACAAATACACAACGTTCTTATGTAAATGATGTAAAAACACAGGTGGCATACAATATCTTGGTAGAAAAATATGATAAATTGCTATTTAAGACATCAATTGTATGGAATGATGTAGGCAATTTACTCTGACGAGTCGAAGATATTTTTAATAAAATTTACTTTTCAGATTGTATTTTTCTTTATCGATATAATAAAATACATCACTACTAACTAAGGGCGAGAATGTGAATTTGACGCATGCGTTAGGGCGAGTTGTAGGACTTTCGTTCTTATTACACAACAAAACAAATTATATTTTATGTCTAAGACGATAAAGTAAATTTTTCTTTATGTAACATCGAAGATAGAATCAATTGATCGAGCGATAAGATATATGATTTGTACGAAAATTATATTATTATACATATTAAATTTAACAGAAAAAAAGTTGCTTTACTATAAATAATAGTTTAATCTGAGATAGTGTGAAAAAAGATACAATTAGTTTTTAATAATTTGTTTATTATTCAACGTAACTAATTATGATACAAATAACAATCAATATTTAGTAGGGTAAAGCTCCTCCCAGACTTTGAGCCGCTCTTCCTTGAGGTTGGAGCGGATGGAGAGCGTCCTGTCTATCCTGAGGTAGTTGCGCTTGTCAGGCGTCATGGCGGGCCAGTGCAGCCCGCTCAACTCGGGCAGATCCAAACCTCCGTATGCGTTCGGGTCTCTATAACAAAGTAATCCCATTAAATGCTCCAGTTTCATTACATCTTATGTTAATGGTCGTAAGTGTTTGGCGTATACACGGTACATGTGCAGTAAATGACTAAAAATAGATTAACGGTGAAAAGGGCGATGTTATGTTGTGCATACCCTGTCTTTGCGAATGTGTACCAAATTGCGGTCATCTTGTCGACGACGTCAGCGTCCGGGCCGGTGGCGGGCACGTCCGGGAACCGGTAGCGCAGTGAGAACAGGTAGATCAAGTCATCGTGGTGCGCCGCGCCTGACACAATCATACAAGCAAATAATAATACCACACCACACATTGCTAGTTTAATAAGTAGGAGTGTACTTAACATCAAATAGAAGCTCACCTGTGGGCTTGTTGGTGACGGGGTCCTCGTAGTGGCTGTGGTTGCCGACGTACGCGAATTCGTAGTAGTACACGGGATAAGGGGAGTGTCGGCACATCAGGTTGGCCATCCTAAATGATAATAATTTATGTAAATCGAAACTTAACAAAAGGAAAAAGGTCTCGTAGCCATCTTATTCGTGTAATGTTCCTAGTATTATAATTACAGGCATGTGTTCAGAATTGATGATGATCTTCCTGGTATCTCTCTATCTATAAAATAGATTCTTGTTTATGCTAACCTGTGTACCGGGAAGCTCTCGATGGCGTCACCGTACAGGTATCCGAGGGCTTTGGCGGTGGCGGTGTCGTTAACCAACGTTCTGTTCCCGAAGTACTCCTGACGCAGCCGGTTGACCTTTGGTGTTGCGCCTTCCCGCGGGACCTGCAGCGAAATGGGTGCTATTCGCTCCCATTCCTTGTTCATTCCGTCCAACAGAGTCTGATTGTTCAATATAGCTAAAAAAAAGGATTACACGTTTGAATCTTAAAAAACAATTTGGTTGTAGCATTTATACAATTTGAAGTGACATGAATTGTGAATACGCACTGAAGGCCTTCCAGAAGAACTCGTCTGTAGTCTGGCTGATGATGTGCGGCACAGCGTGCATCCTGCCTTTGCGGATGGCAACGGATGGCTCGATAGCCAAGAATCGCTCCTGACCCACATCCGGTTCGATCACGGGCCACCAGATAGCCACCGGGTCGAAACCGAACTCCTGTTCATGTAATAAACTTCTTTTATTGGAGAAATCTCTTGTGATAACCAATTGTACTAATTTAACATTTGCTTTTATAGATTGTTGAAATAATTTTTCAATGCTTGCTTACGTAGAATCCATTCAAAGAATCTCCGAGCTCCTTCCACGGCTTGGTCTTGAGGCAGTCGACCATTACCCTGTTAGGGGACGTGGGGCAGCCGACGAGCTCGGCCTGCCGCCGGGCCAGGGGCAAAAGGTCGGTGGGCGTTGGCCCGGGGACTATGGGCGACCCGCTCATTGATATTCCGCGGTGGAATAGACCTACGACATAATACACAAATAAAAGTCAAACATTATTAATACTTACAGGTTAGGAACGTTCTGTTTGCTTTGTTTGCAAACCTAATAAACTAACCCTTAGACATTGGTGAGATCATGTGCAGCATGACGCTGATGGAGCCCGCGCTGCAGCCGGTAATGGTTACTAGGTCGGGGTCGCCGCCGAACGCAGCGATGTTGCGACGCACCCAGCGCAGCGCCGCCACCTGGTCCTTGAACCCGTTGTTGCCCGGTGCCACCTCGTCGCCTGTACTCAGGAAACCTGACCCAGGATACTTGCAGTTAAAAGACACGTCGTCAAACAACTTCCCTTGACGTATACATTTATTTATCTTTTATGCGAAGATATCAAAGAGATTTCCGAGTAGAGTAAAGTTACTAGTTTTCGTAATACCTACCTAATGTGCCGAGGCGGTAGTTGATGGTAACGAGGACGATGTCGCGGTCGAGCAAGTAGTGCGGGCCCGCCACGTCTCCGCGACCAGAGAACGCGTAGAAACCACCCGCGTGGATGTAGAACACCACTGGCAGGGGCTCCTTGCTGCAAATAAGATCGACAATTCAGTTGAGTTAACAATCAACAACCTTTCCTCTTGACATCTCAATCCTCCTTACTCCCTTTATGCTACTTTAGTATTTGGTGTTCATCCTTCATAAAATAGAAACAAGCAGGAGAAAGTGGTGCCTCCTTAGCTAGCATCCTAACGAATGGTACGAAGCGGTCCTCCTTATATAAGTCACGTAGGAAGCACAGTTACACATATACCTCTTATGGCTAGGCGTGTAGATATTGATGCGCAGGCAGTCCTCGTCCAGGTAGTAGCCGGGCGGCGCGGGCAGCGGGCACGCAGGGCCCTCCTGCGTAGCGTCCACTACTCCCTCGTATTTCTCAATCATTCTCGGTGGCTAATGAACATATCATTATATTATAAAAATTGCTCATTCAATTATTTATTTATACGCTCATTTTTGGACTCAAATGTAGTCTCACTTACTTGAAATCGTAGAGCACCGACAGGAGGCTCGGCATACCGGATGCCTCGGTAGGCCTCAAAGGCCCGCCCCCTCCTTGTCTGCATCATGGATCCTCGGATAGCGCCCGACGGGGTCATCGCTACAGGATTTTCACTGGTCCCTAACACTGGCCCCCCTGTAGCAAGTTGTTATTACGAGTAAAGAAATAACACAGTGCTTCGTCCATTATTAACATTTAATTTTCATTTAAACATAGCAAGATCCACTAAATAGAAAAATTCACAACAGTTTTATTTATTTTAGTTGTAATATTGCTGACCTGTGTGTGGGCTGTGCTTATGGGTATGTCCATGATGGTGGTCATGGTCCGCCCCTGCGCTGAGGCATGTCGCCAGCGCGCACATCACTAGCAGCGCACGTCGGAACATCGCGCGAGTCGTCATTACAATGGCGGACAGGACGCGCGCCCACCTTATATACGATGTATATTTTTTAACAATTTTTCCTGAAACTTGAATCGTGTTTTTTCTTTTGTTGTGAGTTAAGATGACGAATATATTAGCAGTAGACACGATTAATTGTTTACACCTAGTTCAGTATAAAAACTGAAAGATATGATTCTTGCATATATTTGTAATCACTTATATTATTGTGCTATATTTCTAAGTAAGTTTATATTTAAAGGTCAGCGTTTGATAACATACATCCATTTTCTCCTTATTTGTTTTCAAAGATTATGTTTATTTAATTAAGAAGGAAAGCAATTGATCTTTAAAGGAAAGGTCTAGGATATATTAAACTGTTTAAAACCTACATAAACACATCATATTATTATACGTAAATGGTTTTTAACACAATCAAGATACTACAATGCGTTTTTCTGCAAGGTTGTACATCTACATGACAAATATACCAACTATCTCATAGAATAACAATATTAAATAACATATATTTGTAATGCGCTGCTTGAATATCGACTACCGCAATATATTTACTTCTCACGAACTCTCAATCCCTTTATAATCTAATTGTAGAGCTATCAGTTTAGTCATTTCTCTACATCATGAATTTATTTAAAAAACAAATTTAAATACTTGGAGTTGTGATCACTCCCTAACCTATTAAAATTAGTTTCTTTATAGTAGTTATAACTACTTTATTTTAGTTGTAAAAAGATATTTTATTACGAAATAACATTATTTAGAAGATGTAATGTGTAATGTAGGTTTTCCAGCCTCATTGTCCACTGAGTCATGGGTTAAGAGTTCTAATCCTAGCCGCAAAGGTATTGTTCTTTTCAAATATCTTGGCGGCCGTAGGTTATCGGCGCGTTGCGCATTGCCATCCTCCCTCATCTTGCTACGCCCTTGTGAAAATTCTATGGATGTGGTTGGAAGGCACAGAGCAGCGCGCCGATAACCTTGGGCCGCCAAAATATTTGAAAAGAACTATAACACCTTACTGTTTTGTTATTCATCGCACTGTCCTCATATAAACAAACAAGCTCCTTTCATAATATACATCTATGTTATCATAATATACAGAGCGAAGTGATAATTTATCCTTCCATCTGGAGATCATTCTCCAATACGAGTATATGAGTTGAATAACTAAATTTACTTTTTCAGTTTTTCTGCGCAGTTTACTGTAGTACTGTCTTGTATAACAGACAAAGGCATTTTGTAATTATGAGTAAGGAATGTTATCAGTATTGTAGTCACATAAAAACAACATTTATTTACTATCTTTGCAGACGATGAGGTATAGCTTTGGCTCGCGAATGCTCTTGCCTTGAGCCCAATAAGGCTATCAATAACCTGTATGTATTCGTGTATGGTCACATCACATGCGTCTGTGTCGTACTCTATAGATTAATTATTATCATACACCTGAGTTCAACGGACCCATAATTGTTAATGAAAATATGTTTTTAAAAACACAGGCCTGTCGAGCTGTGTTTAATAGGCTATTCAAGTAAGATAAAAGCGATAAAAAAATCGTATTTAAATAAGGACTGTTTCTTAGTTTGTTGTCGGGTTATTCTCATAACTAGTTAATTTATCATAAATAGAGCAAAGCTGTTATATCATAGGGCAAGATAAAGATAATGACTTAAATTGCAAATGGACAAGGAAAATACAGTTGTGTGGCGGGAAAACCAGCCGGCCCGAGCGGCGGCCACGCGTACCCCCCGCACACCCCGCCCATTGCCTGCGACGCACCGCGCATGCGTCATCCGCCATGTTGACAAACACAAACATAGACCCACGCCGTCTGACACATATCGATCTGAGCTTCGCAGACAAGCAAATATTATATTTAATTACTATTTGAAGCTGCGATCCTTTTAAGACAGTAAATAAATGAAATGTAAAAACAATGTCTACTTCGCAAATACTCATGTGACAGGTTTATTTTCGCGATCCACGGTGTATTTAGTACACATCTTTTGCAAGAAAAACGAATAATATTAAAATATGTAGTCACCGGTGTATATGAGGTTGTCTATTGTTGCCTATGCCTTGGAATTCTTACAATAATTGTATTGGTCGCGCATTTTGGTATGACTGAGTTCGGAATAACTGCATCTGTACTTAATATCAAGTGGCATTGCATTATTTAAGATCGTACAAACGTCTATATTAAGTAAACAAAGAAACGTACAATCGAATTTAGAACAATCATTTTTTGAAATCTGATACGAATAAAGAAAATTGTTACCAAGAGATAGCTCTGTTTAAGTTATTTAACACTAGACAACGGTAAATTTATTATCGATATTTTTAAATATACTGCCATCTAGTGGGTAATAACGATAAGTAAGTTACTGATTACCATTGCTAGATGGCGCGTTAAACTCAACTCCGTGTCTATAATATCCTAATAAATGTTTCCTTTTTTATTACAAATATGGATTTTTTACGTTCAAAAATGTCTAGATAAAGCAGCAACACAGCGGTATAACAATATTTATTTTTGGGGTTATGAATATTTAGAACTGTGAACTAGAATTTTTGCGGTACATGTCGATCAAACATGGTTATAAAAACAAATCTGATATACTGATAATCACTTCTTTCAGTTCGATTTGACGGCAGCGGATGTTGTGTTTGGTCGCAGCTCTGGCGTCAGCATCTCCGCACGGCGGAAGGTGGCGGGAGGTGGCGGGAGGTGACCGGACCTTATCTAACACTAAACATTGTCACTAAACAACGTGACTGAGAACAGGGCCGGACTGGACGGTGTGCGGCAACCACTACACTGGTGGAACTAATAATATTATAGTTGTTACACTATTTTTTTAACGATTTTTGTGGTTGTTTTCTTACAACGCTCTTAAAAAATATAAGACTATAATTTCCAAGGAAAAATAAGATAGATAGAACCACAAATCATGATCATAAATCTTTTACTGTTCATTTTATAAGATAGCTTTAGCCCGCGATTATCCGTGCGGAATTAAAAAAATACTTTATTTGTAGCCTTTGTATTATTCCAGACTCTCTATATCTGTGTCAAATTTCATCAAGATCGTAGTAACAAACATCCATCCAAACATTAGCATTTATAATATTAGTATGATTATAGTGCAAGGTGTTGGAAGTGTAAAGCCAGGTGCGCGGTGTCCGTGCCTGCGGCCGGTGCAGCGAGCACGAGCCCCGCGTGTTTACAAACAGCGCGGAGCACGCCGCAGCCGCCGCCGCGTCCTGCAACACAACACACACAAACACGGTGGCTGCAGCACTCGACCACTCGCCCCCGCAACACTGCGCTGCACCACGCCTGGGTTCACCACATTTTATTCGTGTCGCATCGCTGAGGTAAACCGCAGTCATTATTATATTACAACCGCTCTCAGAGTTGTTAATTGCTTATTAAGGGAGACACATAATGCAAATTTTTCATACTAAATGAACACTAAAACAGACACCACATGAGAATTGCAGACTTAACGTAAGCAAAACAAATGAAGATTACACACAAACGTGCAAGTGTTTGTCTTCTTTTAATCTCCTTACATTCTTTTTCTTTTGTATTAAATCGACCGAGAAGCTACAACTGGACATGTTACAACAGCTACGGTGTTGTTCTTTTATTGATCCGAAGTCTCAACTTGGTAGGAAACAATACTGAGCTGCTCTTCAATTCGGTATAAAGTATACCGACAAGGTATGTGTATTTATTTTGGTTATAGATGTAACTTCTGATTGCAGAGACTCCACATTCATGAAGATCATCAGCAATTTGTATTCTATGCACGGACACGACTGCACGTAGTCTTTACAAGCAAATCGGATCTGGTAAGATGTTAATTATTAAATAAGTAGTCAGATAAATTTAGTGCTCAGTAATGTTAATATGGTATCTTTCGTGTACAAAGTAAAACTCACTCACTTTCTACAGTATGATACATGTACCTCTACTGACACATATATGTAAAAGAGTACATCTGTTATGTAGAGATTATATTTTGAACATCTTTTACATTTAACAAAGAGACGTATCATAACATGCGTCTAATGTTTGGTAAATTGTTATTCAAATATTTTGACAACATTGTGACCATACAATGAGTTAGGCAAGTATATAAATGTCTCCAGCGCGCCGCCTGACGTAACTGCAGCCCGCCCTGCCGGCCGCCGCGCACTCGCTGCACTCACACTTAGCAAATTGAATTTCACAGACAAATCAGAACCATGCAAGTGTGGAGAGCTCCGACGGCTCTGCACGTGCTGGTGGTACTGGCGTGCGCGCTGCTCTGCCGCGCCAAGATATTGCGCAACAACGCGCTCATGAACAAGATGATGTCGCAGTTCCAGCGCGACAACAGCAATAACCTGTCGCTGGAGCCGGTGGTGATGCAGGCGAGCCAAGTGGTGCAGGCGACGCCGGCGGGCGGCGCGCATGTTTTGGCGGTCATGCAGTCCGTGCTCTGCAAGAATTTCCCCAGCATTCCCTGCCGGCTTATCACGCAGGACCGCACGCTCAGCCGCCTCATAGAGAAGTCCATTCAGCAGATCAACTACAAGAAGCTTTCGCTCGAGAAGACGACGCAGCCCGACAACCGCAGGACCGAGTACCCCCTCATCAACAGTGAGGATCTATCGAATTTTCTCCAGGTCCAGAACACTGGCTACTTCGATAACGGCGAGACGAGGCGGAGACGCAAGAAACAGAAGCTCAAGACCGAGCGTATAAACTGGTCGAAGGAGAAGGGAAAGAAGTCGAGCAAACAGAACAAGCGCACGTCGGTGTTCGGGCGCAAGAAGCTGCGCAAGTTCTACCCGCACAAGGTGAAGTACAAGGACAAGACGCACAGCGCCCAACTCGAATTCCGAGGAGAGTACTCGGGCGAGCGCGGGGAGCGGGGCGAGCGGGGAGCGCGCGGGGAGCGGGGCTCGCTGTCGGTGGAGCTGCCGGCGGGGGCGCTGGCGCCGTCGCAGCAGCACTACGCGTACAAGCGCGAGCCCGCCGCGCCCGCCGTCTGGCGCATCGACTACGCCAAGCACGGCGGGCCCAGCCTCAACCTGCTCGGCTCCCTCACAAAGACGCAGGGCGGCGGAGCTGGCGCGGGCGGCGGGGAGGAGCAGGGACGTAAGGACGTGTTGCACCCCGACGTCTACATCAAGAAGAACTTCATTAGAAAGAACTCCGAGCTGGTGGACTAAGGCCGGCTACTAACTTAGACACTAGACGACAGGGACCTCGGGCCTCTACTCTGTAACAAATACATTTCGTAATAACATTTTATTGAACTTTTTTTTTATAATAATATTGTGTTACAGCTTAACTGTATAAAATATACTTACTTTAAAATATATCCCCATTACAAATAAATATGTAAAGATATGTAATCTACGCTTAGGTTTATTAAGCTGAGTGCCTTCAAGTTATTGTATTAAAAACATAAAGCAAATATATGTTGGCAAAAGTGAAGAAAAATTTATAACGAGATAAGTGCTTATTTAGGCTAGTCGCGCGAGTCTTCCTACGCGCAGCTCATAACTAACTAGTTCAAAAATAATAAAAAACTAAGCCATTGACTTCTGACTCCACTCAGATCAGACTGACGAAGCAATGAACGAGGTGGTAAGTAGTCGTCTTCATATTTCTATAAAGTTATATACAACATGTAGTCGAAGGGCATCTGAGCCTCGGGATTTGAACACAAACAGTATATAATCGTACCTGTATAAAAATAATTCTATAAAATCACGTAAAATAAAAATAAAATAATTCAATACAATTTAATTTTGTTTTAGCGCCATCTATTACGAAATAAAAAGAACTGAATATGTTAAAACTCATAAAACTAAACGAAATATTTTTTAAGTTATATTTCCAAATAATGATAATATAGAAACCGTCGCAAGCTCTTCCAACGCACCTGTTTTGATAGTTTTAATAGTGGCTAACATTTAACATTTAAAGTTTTGGCTTGTATTTTTATAAAAAATTTTACTTAATGCCACCTAGTGTCATAAAGCTGAAAAAAAGGTACAAAAAAAATTAAACGAACTTAAATAAAAGGAAACCCCATCTATTGGCGGATAGCAATAACATTGCGTCCATATCAGAATGAGTTGTTTTAGATTTTACTGACATCTAGTATCCGATGGCATATTAACAAACCAACTGTTATCGCTGCTCAAAACTGGATGGCGCTGTAAAGGCCACTGGATAATAAAAATTACCGAATTGTGGAAAAAGGATAGATAAAAAA